ATGTGCACTGCATACTTGCACATTATGACATACATACTCAAAGGATGCCCTTCAGTGCTGCACGGTCAGTACATGAGTGTGTCCGTCTTCGCTCTGTTTGGCTGATTTGAATGGCTTGGTCACAGTGCCATTAGTCCTCTGCTTGTGTAGTCCTCTGCTTCATCGTGGCGCAGTGTGGGTGCCATAAGGCATCATGTTCTCAGGACATTTGAATTTCTCATCTGAATGCTTTTTACTTGACAGGAAAAAAGTTTCAAAATACGAGCCTAAAGCTGTGTATTGCACATTCATTTAGGTGTTCAAGTGTGAGTATTTATGGATTCCATTGGCCAAAATATTGATTTATTCTGGCCACTGGAACGAACACTCAAGCACTAAATGCATCTAGCTCCCAGACGTGTTTGTGCGCCAAACATATTTTTTCCTGCCCAAATTCTCCTCTCCTGAACGTGCTGGTAATGTTTGTTTTTTTTTCAGCCTGTCAACAGTCCTCTTCTAAAAAGGCCTGTAAACACCTATGTGTGTGTTCTGACACAGGCTAACATAAAGGTGCTTTTACAGGCTGAAAAAAAACAAACATAAATAAAGTCAAACTCCTGTAATAGAAGACTTCTTTTAAGCCCTTTGTGCATATGGCCTTAATGTACTCTGAGCTGGGCATGCATGTCTCAGTGTATATTGCTGCTAACAGGCAAGGGGAAGCAGAAGAGACCATAAGGGTTTTGTCAGGTCCAGGATCTGACCCCATAACCTCTGCAGCATCCAGCAGTGGTTCTTCTTGTGCAGCCATTTGAGATGCTGGTCTCTGTCTGGTACCTTGTTTTTGGAGAAACTTGAACTTCTTGCTCCTCCCATGAACTTCCTATTTAAGCCATGCCTTTACACTTCCTGTCTGCCATATATTTGTGCTCTCTCCAGCTGATATTTTGCTCCTTTGCATACCTGCATCTGTCCTCATCTCCACTACCACTCATTACTGACGTTTGGCTTATCCCTCAACAACGCTCTGCTTGATCCCAACCTACAACCATTCATTATCAACATTTTGGTTTGTTCCTCGACTACAATTCTGCTTGATCCCAACCTGCAACCAATTGTTACAGACCCTTGGCTTGTTTACCGACTACGCATCTACTAGATCCTTACCTGCTACTGGGCCCCGGCTTGCTCACCTTGTGGGGAGGGGGGGGGGATCCTGAGGACTGTGGCCTGGTATTAAGACATAGCAAAAACCCATCCCCACCATAAGGCGCTCTGGTGCGTTAGTGCTTAGACCCCCACACCTTGGGTGAGCGGTCATCATCCGCCAGGGTATACTTTCCAGCTGTTTGGTGGGAGCCTCTCTACTGCAATAGCTACTGGTCTCCGAGCCTGATCCCTGACTGACAGGTCTCTTCTGTCAAAAACCATCAGTTTTTTTTTTTTAATGTGTTAAATACCACTTTATAAAAAATTCTCTATGGGAATTATTTAAAACAAATACTTATATAGCGCCAACAATTTAAGCAGCGCTTTTACATATATATTGTACACTCGCATCAGCCACTGACCTCAAGGAACTTACAATCTAAGGTCTTCAACTCACATTCATATCACACTAGGGCCAATGTAAAAAGGAGCCAATTAACCTACCAGCATGTCTTTGTAGAGTGTGGAAGGAAACCAAAGACCATACAGGAAACCCATGCAGGCACAGGGAGAACATGCAAACTCCAGGCAGGAAGTGCCGTGACTAGAATTTGAACAGATGACCCAAGTGCTGCTAAGCAGAAGAGTTAACCACTTAGCCACTGTGCTGCCTGCCCCTCTGAAATAATACGGTGAACCTGTATTTTGTCAGCAATGCATTAACTTCACTTTGCAAAGCAAACATATACATTCACTTCTCCTCCCCCACACTCTGTCTGGCCACAAGGAATGAGGAAATGAAGCCCTTTGCAATTTCTGTCTCTCTCCAGTCTGAGATCACACAGGCTTAAGAACTTTCTAGTCAACCCCACATGACAGCACTGGGTCAATCACTAAGCACTGTCCCAATGAAAGAAAGTGGAGGGGTGGAGGAATCACAAGCTCCTCTATCACCAAAAGTTCAGGTATGGTCTTTGCTAGTGGCTACTAAATAGCTAGGTTGGGGGGGGGTTTGGATGAAGGAAAGTTGAGAATGTGCCAAGAAGAGAGGCATTTAAAGCTGAACTCCAGGCAAACTGCTAAATAAACAGATGAAAAAAGACAAACAAACCATGAAGGAGAGGTTTAACCTGGGGGGGGGGGGGGGGGGGAGGATTTGAATTCCTGTCCATCCAGTACTATGATTTACACAGCACAGCCCTATCTGGCAGGGCAGAAGACCAGAGTTATCTTTGCTGCAGTTAAAGCTGATCTTCAGCTTTTAGTGAAGTTTAGAAACTTTGGATCAAGCTGGTCGAAACAAACTATTTATAAAAGACATGCAGTGCCTTTCTGTGGTGTATGAACTGTATGTAGTCTCAACTACATAAAGCACTGTGTTCCGGCACTGGGATGTAAACTTCCTGTCCCACTCCCGAATCAAAAAACTTAGTTGGGCTAAGTGTTACCCCAGCCATTCATAGTGCTTTGTAATTTCTGATAGAAGAAAAAGATTCCCAAAGAGGAGGGCGGATGACATCGTGAACTCCACCTCAACCAGTCAGATGAAGCTTTGTCTTCATTCAGAGAATACCAAGTTTCCTATGAATGGCTTAGCAGTTCTCAGCCAGACTCAGTTTTATTCCAGGAATGGGACAGGAAGTTCGAATCCACACCCGAGACACAGCGCTGTATACTGAATGGAGCTGAGACTACATACATTTCATACAGCGCTGAGAGCGGCTGCGTGTCTTAGTGAAGGAAATTGTTTGGACTAGCTTGGTTCAAACAAACTATTTAAATTTCACTAAAAGCTGAAGATCAGCTTTAACACTTACAGGTCTTGTCCTCCCCCCTAGCCTGTGACTGGACAGTGAAAGTAGAAGCAGGACACAGATGAGCTCACCTGTCATCCTTCTCTCCACTCCTATCAGCACATAAGCTTTGCAGTAGAACCGACTGGTTGAAGATATTTATTTTTACACACCGATTGCTTTTACACCCATAAAGGCTGTAAAAGCAATCATTTTTCTCCTTCTCTCTGGCTGCATTCTTGCAGCCATTGAGAACTACTGTGTGAGCTGTGATTGGTCACAGCTTGTCACATGGTACAAGGCTTAAAAGGCTGTTGTGAATAGCCTTGTACCATGTGACCTCTGTGATCATTCACAGATTTCACAAGTAGTAAGCATGATGTCAGAAGTGATATCTTGCTTACTACTCTGCATGTGATCACTGATTGGCCAATCAGTGATCACATGATCGGGACCTTGCCCAGAGGTCCTGTACGCCGATCGGTGTTCCACTGTGTCTGGAGGACACAGCGAGCATCGGATCATGCTGCTGTGCGCTCCCAGGGAGCGCGCACAAGCAGGGAGGCTGTTTATAAACGGCCACCCGCCCCTGCACTGCTCCCGCCCAGCCGTTTATATACATGGGCCGGACGGGAAGTGGTTAAAGAAATGCATGTTATGCAGCCAATGTTATCCTACAGTGGATATAAAACGTTTACACACCCATGTAAAAAATATCAGGTTTCTGTGATGTAAAAAAAACAACAAAAAAAAAACCCCACAAAAATAATTTCAGAACTTTTTCCACTTTTAATGTGCCCTAAAAAACTCAGCAACACAATTGAAAAACAAACTGGGTAGGGGAGGAGAGTGAGTAAACATAATAAAAAACTAAAATAATGTGGTTGTAGAAGTGTGCACACCCTCTTATAACTGGGGATGTTGCTGTGTTCAAAGTTAAGCAATCACACCTGCCATCATTTAAAGTGCCTCTGATTAACCCCAAATAAAGTTCAGCTGTTCTAGTAGGTCTTTCCTGACATTTTCTTAGTCGCATCCTACAGCAAAAGCCATGGTCCGCAGAGAGCTTCCAAAGCATCAGAGGGATCTCATTGTTAAAAGGTATCAGTCAGGAGAAGGGTACAAAAAATTTCCAAGGCATTAGGTATACCATGGAACACAGCGAAGACAGTCATCGTCAAGAACAGAAAATATGGCACAACAGTGACATTACCAACAACTGAACGTCCCTCCAAAATTCATGAAAAGACGAGAAGAAAACTGAGTAATCACCGGCCAGGACCAGGTGATTGACAGCTGCGGCCGTGAATGTCATTGCGGCTCTCGTGCGCCCCCACCCGGAAATGCAAAATCACATATATACACACGTGATTTGTGCACACGTGCCGCCCTGTAGCAGTATTTCTGCTATAGGGCCGTCGAGAAGCTGTTAAAAAAAAAAAATAATGCAGGTAAAGAAAAATGTGTATTTACCATTTTTGTTTTCAGAGCCTGCAAAGCATTGCACCATGCAGAACTCCTGCATGTATCTGTGAGTTCATACCTCGTATGGACAAGCAGATACACTCTGACAGAAAGGATTAATGAACTGCTACAGCTCTCCACAGTGCCGTGGTAATTCATTGGGAACATACAGGCCGATAGCCGTAATGGCTGCCGGAACTGTAGTTTTCCCATTCGAATACTGTGAATGAGTGACGCGGCTGTGCGGATGAAACCCCACATGACCACTTTTTTTTTTTTTTTTTTTATTATTTAATTGAGACAGCTAGAAGGGGGGGGGGGGGGGGGAGATCCCCTGCAAGCTGTCAAAACCAGGAATCAGGGGGAGCAGAGGCCGGTCCTTTTGTAACATGTTGAACATGGGTGTAAAAAGTAACATTTTACAAAATGTGAACGTATCCCTTAAGCTAGTGTGCATGGAACCTCAGACTTCAAGCAGAAAGAATTCTTGAAAGCTAGGCTAGTTGTGAGGAATAGGTGATCTTTCTAATAGAAAAGTGGGTTTAAACTGACTTTATATTGTTGCCATCATTAGCTCTAAATATCTGAAATTCATGCAAAATCAGAAATGCTCACCTGGGGCGGACTTTCCCATTTTCGTAAAAAGTCTTCTTTGGCTTTAGCTAGAAACTCTTTCACTAAAAAAAAAAAAAAAAAAAAACACACATTAGACACAATGTTGCTCTGGAATACAACTTGCATCCTAAGCAAGAGAGTTGAAAAGGAGAACCGTGTATTGCCCATAGCATTCAGATTTTCCTTTTCAAGCCATCATAAAGGTAAAATATGACTGAATGCCAAGAGTTTTCCTTCAGGCACATTTTTACATGCACGTCAGTCTTCTCTTCCTAACATGTAACAAATAGAACTTTAGCTAAGACAGAATAACTTTTAGGGTAACAAAAAGATCTAATTTAAAACATGCACACAGCTCTATTTCAACAATTCCAAGATCTGTCTCTTTAACTGAACCAACCAGCATGTGTGTCCAGAATCATAAAAAAAAAAAAAAAAAAAAAAAAAAAAAAAAAAAAAAGCAGGTTCTTTTAATTAGAAGTAGCACTGCAGGTCCTCACAACTTTCTCTCCAGCAAGTACAGTGACCAGCTCTGTATCCCAAATCTCATTAGTAAATCAGTCAGAGGCAGCAGTGTCCTAGATGATCTCACACGCCAGATGTATACAGTATCTCCCCAAAGTGAGTATACCCCTCACATTTTTGGAAATAATTTATTATATATCTTTACATTGTAGCAAAGTGCCATTTCTTCAGTGTTGTCACATGCAAAGTAGTGAGTGTACAGCTTGCATAACAGTGTAAATTTGCTGCCCCCTCAAAATAACTCAATACACAACCATTAATGTCTACACCACTAGCAACAAAAGTGAGTCCACCCGAAAGCGATGTCCAAATTGGGCCCACAGTGTCAATATTTTGTGTGGCGACCATTATTTTCCATGACTGCCTTAACCCTCTTGGGCATGGAATTCACCAGAGCTTCAGGTTGCCACTGAAGTCGTCTTCCACTCCTCCATGACATCACGGAGCTGGTGGATGTTATAGACCTTTACGCTCCTCCACCTTCCGTTTGAGGATGTCCCACAGATGCTCAATAGGGTTTAGGTCTGGAGACATGCTTGGCCAGTCCAGCACCTTTACCCTCAGCTTCTTTAACAAGGCATTGCTTGTCTTGGAGGAGTGTTTGGGGTTGTTATGTTGGAATACTGCCCTGTGGCCCAGTCTCCGAAGGGAGGGAATCATGCTCTGCTTCAGTATGTCACAGTACATGTTGGCATTTATGTTTCCATCAATGAACTGTAGCTCCCCAGTGCCGGCAGCACTCATGCAGCCCCAGACCATGACACTCCCACCACCATGCTTGACTGTAGGCAAGACACACTTGTCTTTGTATACCTCACCTGGCTGCAGCCACACACCCTTGACACCATCTGAACCAAATCAGTTGATCTTGGTGTCATCAGACCACAGAACATGGTTCCAGTAATCCATGTCCTCAGTCTGCTTATCTTCAGCAAACTGTTTTCAGGCTTTCTTGTGCATCATCTTTAGAAGAGGCTTCCTTCTGGGATGACAGCCATGCAGACCAATTTGATGCAGTGTGCGGCGTATGGTCTGAGCACTGACAGGCTGACCCCCCCACCAGTTCAATCTCTGCAGCAATGCTGGCAGCACTCATATGTCTATTTATCAAAGACAACCTCTGGATATGACGCTGAGCACGTGCACTCAACTTCTTTGATCGACCATGGCGAGGCCTGTTCTGAGTGGAACCTGTCCTATTAAACCGCTATATGGTTTTGGCCACCGTGCTGCAGCTCAGTTTCAGGGTCTTGGCAATCTCTTATAGCCTAGGCCATCTTTATGTAGAGCAATTCTTTTTTTCAGATCCTCAGAGTTCTTTGCCATGAGGTGCCATGTTGAACTTCCAGTGACCAGTATGAGAGAGTGAAAGCGATATCACCAAATTTAACACACCTGCTCCCCATTTACACCTGTGACCTTGTAACACTAATGAGTCACATGACGCTGGGGGAGGGAAAATGGCTAATTGGGCCCAATTTGGACATTTTCACTTAAGGGTGGACTCACTTTTGTTGCCAGCGGTTTAGACACATTATTAGCTGTGTGTTGAGTTATTTTGAGGGGACAGCAAATTTACATGTTATACAAGCTGTACACTCACTACGTCACATTGTAGCAAAGTGTCACATGAAAAGATAGAATAAAATTTACAAAAATGTAAGGGTTGGACTCACTTCTGCGAGGTACTTCAGCTATGAGACTACAATCTATTTTTGTTTTACAGTCAAACTTATGACAACAGGCTTCCGTTACGTGTGGGCAGAACAAAAAGCCAAGACTGGCCCTAATTGACATTTTGCACTGAGCTGTGCAAATGGGGACAATTTGACTCTTTCAGTTCTGTGTATAAATTTTTGTTTCAGCAACTCAAGCAGGAGAAATTTGAATACATACAAAGTTAAGCCCCTGTGGCAGATACCCATTAAAATTTGTTTCTAAGACAACTGGAAGCCAGTGGAAGTCTTACTGTGTCTGCCCCAACCGCTGCTTGTCAAAAAAGCAAAGAATAGAACACTATTTATGGGGGTGGAACGGTTTTGTGCCTCATGTTTATACCTGCACAGTAATGACAAGCTGAGGAGCGGCCATACACAGCTTCTGATTTCTTGTAATACTTTCATGTTTTCCCCCTTCTTAGAGCCATGGTGACGTCTAAAACCATTAAAGCGGAGCTCCACCCAAAGAACAGGGGGGGGGGGGAGGAGTTTTGCTCCAACGTCTCGTCCCATGCTCCCACGTTAAGGATTGGCAGGAGTTTCACAGGTACCCGCTCCGACTGCCTAGGCGATCAGAAGTGGAAGTTCTCCTCCCTCGCTCCCCTGAAATGTGTTGGCTACTTGATTAGGTGTTGTGGAAAAAAAAATATTTTTGAACCGAATCAAGCTTTGTGCCGATCTCATCCTTCTAATGTTCTACAGAATACTCCCAGGGCCACTTGGGGATACCCTGGTTTAGAGACACCGGTCTTGAATTTTTTTTTTTTTTTTCCTAATTTCTATATACTCTGGGATCCAGCTCTCCACCACACAAATCTACTACTTTCTAGCTCGATACCTGAAACTGCTCCTGTAGACTAAAAAAAATCTAGACAACACCATCTCTAGAGAAGGGTGGGGGCATATTCCTCTTCTAAGGTATGTTTGTGTAACCTGAGATTCTGCTATTCAAGTCTGTAGTAAAGGATCTACTAGAAAACCTGGCCTACCAGACCCAGTCATCACCTGAGGCTTGAAAGGATCAATATGCATTATATGCAATACTCCTCTTTACGGACATAAAAATTGACATTCAAAATTGTATTTTTTAGCCCTCTGTAACTACGGAAAACCTGAAGTCAATAAAGCAAGTAATTTGGAAACAACAGCAGGAATCTCTAGGTGCTTGTATGAAGCTTCAAATTTCTTCCAGAGTGTGCGAGTGCCCTAAAAATAGTCAGTGCTGATTATACAAATATCCCCATGAGCTGAAAATGCAATGATCTGGTCCAACCCTTTCTGCACCTCATTAATGGTCAGTGAACTGCCCAACACAGTGATAGACCAAGGGCTTGTTTCACATTAGCGGTCGGGGGGGGTTTGCACAGGGATTTAAAAACCACACGTTTTACTGCCCTTCAACAGCTCCCTCTTTAGCTGAAAAAATGATACTCACCTGTTGTGTTTGACAGGCACTTATCCCTAGTAAAAACAATGAGAAAATCGGATGAAAAAAATGTATTTGGAGTGATCGTCCAAAAATCTATCCGTTAGTACACAGCTTTCGGGAGCCGATCACGACCATTCATGTGAAAAAATCTGAACAGAATAGCACAAACCTTTTCTTGTAAGATTAGCAGAACAAGCTATTTTCGTGTAATTAGTGCAGTATTAAAAAAATACAAAAGACCAAATCCACGAATTCTCAGAAACAAAATAATACATTACATCACTCCCAAACTTGTATTCTATCTTAAACAGAATTTTTGTACCTTTATCATTGCATTAACTGCAGCCGCACATGACCAGGGTTGCACAGCAGTCACATGTAATGCACACAATTGCAACATTGTAGTGCGGTATTTAGTGGGCTAAAACCGGTGCATCCATACCACCTGTCAAACGCCTCTGGAAAGCAATCCAAGCGTGCTTTTCAGAGGGGCATCAATCCTTGCCACCAATGTATTTGTCTTGCATGACACCCCAGGATTTGGAGTGACAAAACAAAGCTGAAGCATCTCCTTCTGCAATAAATGACTAGTTATCAACATAAAGACCATGATAGTCTTTCCATGGTGGAGCAGAACAAGAACAGCCTCTTCCTATTCACCGATTAGTCTAAGGCAGTGTTTCTTAACTCCAGTCCTCATGGACCCCCAACAGGTCATGTTTTCAGGATTTCCCTCAGATGAAACAGCTGTGGTAATTACTAAGGCATTGAAACTGATCAAATCACCTGTGCAAAATAATGGAAATCCTGAAAACATGACCTGTTGGGGGTCCATGAGGACTGGAGTTGAGAAACACTCCCTTAGGGAAGTTTTCTCTTAACATTGGATGGACAAGGAAAAAAAACATTTTTGAACAGCCGTAAATGCCTAACAGCCCTATATATCTACCATTGAAAGCAATCACTCTCTTAAGCAGGCCATAAATGGTTGGGAACTCTTTTTGGATCAGCCAGAAGGCTGATCGACAAACTGAATGGATTCCCCCATCCATAGATTCAAGGTGGGAATCCTCCCCACTGTCATTGTAATCTGACAACAGGCATTCTCCCGACACCAGAATACACTGGTCAGTCAAGTCAATTTTCCAACAAGGCCGGTCGTGAGCAGTCGCTCCTTAGCTCCACTGCCAAACGGGAAGGACCAACTATGGATCAAAATTTGGCTGGTCCCTGCTGAACTGACCAAATTTTGATCCATCTATTGTCAATTTAATGGTTTTGGCTATAAAAACATCTAGGTATTAATTTGATAGTAGTGGTGTTTAGATGAAGGAAGAAGACAGAAATCAAAGCAGGTCAGGTTCCCCTGAGGAAGTCATGTGCTCTAAAAA